CTTAAAGGGGACATTTTTCTCTTTAGATACTGTAATCATAATACTTTACTCAAGTAGGATTTTGTATGCAGAGGCTACTTGTAATTGAAAGAAGAAACGTAAATCCACGTGATACCATTATAAATCAGCTTTATTTAAATAAATGGAGATTAAAAAAAAGCAAATATAATTCAGCTTCGCATTGTTTCAGTTGATCAAATCTGTCCCAGCTCTCACATTCTTTTCATTTACACTCACGTTTTAATGAATACTTGATCATTGCGAAGGCATGCGCGTCCCCATTCAGTTTCTTCTGCTCCGGTTTGATTCCTCTGTCGCAAGTCACCAGCGCCGGCAAGGCAGTAGATTGCGCAGTCATCTCCACAAGGGGTAATATGACAACCCGACCAACAGCACAAACTACTACCTCAACCAGCGCTTGGCCCGCGGTGCCCGCATCCCTTCTTTTGTCCTCTTTAGGATCTCCTCGCTCCAGTTTCGGTCTGAATCTCCATTCAGTCAGTGTCGCTGTGCGTAAAAGCGCACGAAAAAAATGGCGTGCGCGCAAAACGTGGCCGCAATAAAGCGAGACAAAAACCCCACCCAAAGCATCGAATGGAAAAAGACACCTCCTGTACCTTTGCTCGTATTTCCTGCACCCGCTGTTCTCCTCAGATGACCTCAGTGAAAATGACATATGGCAGGTGAGAACGGCGGAGCCCTCCGTGGATTTTTTTTTTTTTTTCTTTTGGAGGAACATCGGCGACATTAATCGCTTTGTGAGACCACAGAAAGTGAATTGTGGTGTTCGTGATCTAAACAAAACTGAGATTAAAACTGAATCTGAATAATGTGAATGATAATGATTCAAAAGAGGAAAACAATTGATCATCTATGGGTGCAGGGCTGAGAGAAATTCTCTAGCCTACTATTCACTTCAAAACATTCAATTACGTGTGTAAAATATCACAAAAAACACAGCACATGATCTACCATTTCAACTCATACATGATCAAATGTACGTTTAAAAATATCTTTAGAAAAACTGATTATTGAAGCATTTTTGTTTGTCATTAGAATCACCATGAGAGATTAAAAATAAGACTACCAAAAAGTCAGAGTAACACACAGCTCTATTTCTACATTACCGCAGTTTTGTTGGGAATGAGAAAACACGAAAAATCCCTCATCGACTCCTCACAGTCCTTCACCTTGCAGCTGAACTGCAGCAGTCTGTTTTATAATCTATTGTTGTCTGTTTCTCTCTGCGTCGGGGGTGGGGGGGTAAAGTTGCCCCGGTATCAAATCCACTCGGTTTCAAACACAGAAACGTGAAACAAATCCACAACGAGGCGAGAAGCGATTTTCTTCACCCCCCGTTCGCCCCGCAAATGCCGCATGTCAGGTAGGTGTGGAAAATGAGTGGATCTGGCGGAGCGGCGTGGATAAAATTCGCGGGGAACGTCAGGACGGGTGTAGGCACGAGCAGAGATCAGAGAAAACACTGAGGTCCCACTCCGACGGGTTTTCCAAGCGCCGGCGGAGCGGAGAAACTGTCGGAGAGCGCCATCATCTGGCTGCAGTCAGGATGTGAGGAGGAAAGTCGAATTCCTACTATTAGAGAAAAAAAAAAGCAAAAATGATGAATGCAAGTGGAAACAAAAGCTCATCAATTTAAAACAAACTGCATGTTTTAAAGGAATGATTTAATGCTTTTTATATCTCTGTGATCTCATTGATAATAATCATGTCAAAAGTTATTTTTCCTGTAACTAAAGCAACACAGTGGCACTGCCGTTTCACATTTTTATGGGAAAATAATTACAATAATTACAACTGGTAATTACAATAGAGACAAAAATAAATGAAAAAAAAAATTAACAAATTAAAACTAGAAGTTTTAACCCAATTTTAATCTTTACATTTCACTAAAACAGAAGCCTATTTTCTATTTGTCTTTTCACATGTTACTCATTGGAAACGTGTCTGTGGAATGAAATAATATTATAACAAGTATATGTGAACTGGTGAGCATATAACATGTGATTTGTCTTTTAACTTGATCATTTACATATATTTGATCTAATTCTGACAAAGCCACAAATGAATCCTTAAAACTTTCACTTGTCAGGCTGCAACTAACCATCATTTTTACTATTGGTTAATCTATCAGTTGTATTTTCCAATTAATCCAATATTAATATGAATAATAATACATTTTATTATTAAAGAGCTTTAAATATTTATTAATGACTAGTTTTTTCAGCTGTAAATCACAAAGATAATTAGACTCAATGATGCAATGATGTTAATTATCTGGATTTATGTTCATGTATTATGTCTTCTTCCATTTCTGTGTGTGAGGGTAGTTTTATGTCTTGGTTAACGCTCGTTCTCACTGACTGGCAGTGAAAGCTGGCCTCTGTTTTCTCTATGGAGTGATCCACTGTTCTGCACACGGCCCGTCCTCCTGCTCCTGCTTCCTATTGGTCAGAAGGATGAGCCGCTGCACGGGGGGAACCTCCCAGCTGTGAGCGGGCAGAGAACCCGTCAGAACCCGAAGAGAACACCGTGTTCCTCCTCTCAGATCAGCTGCAGCTGCTTACACCGGGATAGCGGAAGAGAAAATGGAGGGCAAACTGTGAACCTCATTTAAATTCTTAACTTATGCATAGTTCAGAGGGCTGAGAGCTGCTTAAATGTATTCTTTATAGAGCTGCTAGTGAAATGTGGGACCGCTGTGACCAAGCTCTGTTCATGCTTTTCATCATGATGATGATGAAAACAGAAACACAACTGGACATCACATTTATCTTTTACAGCTTCACTTTCATACTAACATACTGATCCCGCAGCCGAACCGAATTCAAATTGTCAATTATTTGGGATTTCCCTTTAACTTTGGTACTGATTAGAAGCTGCTTTAATTCTTTCTATGAGCTCAGGAGAGAACTAACAAGTGTATCTTCCATTATTCATGTAGACAGTGGTGGGAGTCCAGCAAGAACATAGCACATGCTCACACACCAGAGACAGAAGGAAAGAAAACCAGAGCAGAACCCACAAGAAGCTTTACACAACTTTATTGAAGATTGTGTATAAATACACATGCACATTTCAAATGTAAACCCAAGTGAACTCAAGTGCAGCCAAACCTGGAAACCCCCATCATCTCATCATGCAAGGATGTCTGGATTATTTTTTACAAAAAAAGTCCCAAAACAACAGAAGCATCCTTTTTTTTTTAAAAATATTCCCTCCCTGACAAGAGCGCAGGCAAGACTTTGCAAACTGGTGTGTATGTGTGGACTGGAGCCACCCCCCCTCCCCACCCCCACCCCCCCAACACGTCAGGTCTCGCCAAGGTTTTAAATATATTGTCTGTTTATTATTAAATGCTTACATATAAATAAATAAACTTTATCAAATGTGCACTCACAGAGTGAACTCTTATGTACAGTATTGTATAAGCCTATAGTAGCAATCACATCTCACTCAGTCAGGGTGGGGTGAGTCGCCCAAAAAGCAAGGCAGCGCCGTGGCGATGAAGCCCACTGAAGTCGAAGCACAGATGCTCATAAAGGCATGGTACACATGTAATATTCTGAGGCAACAACAGGTACGCTAATGCTGTTTACAATGGAAAGAACAGGTAGAAAAAGAAAACATAACACTCCACCATGGAGAATAGAGTTTTATCATGAGTTACACCGATGGAGGAATATCCTGCAACAATCTGCCACAAAATATTTTCACTTGTATCATGATCCCAGAAGCTGAAAGGCCTTTTAGGCAGACTCACCCCACAGTTTTCACTTTGTCTCCCCTTCCCTGCTCCCTTCCCTTCCCTTCCTACCCATCCTCAAAGCTCATGACCACAAAGAAGCATTTTTTCCCCCCCTCTGGAAAGGGACGCATCCAGCAATACCCATGAATTCATACAGCTAGTATCAAAGGTGAGGAAATCCATTGCCATCACATTCAACCAAACCAAGAAAGGGAGCCATGAAAAAAAAAAAAAAAGAAAAGAAAAGAAAAAAAAAAAAAAAAATCAGGCCCTATAAAGAATCAAAAGGCATCAACCACATACATCTGGTCAGTGTTCATTCTATTCAGCATACATTCTGGCCCTCTTGTGGGTTAAAAAAGAATGTTTGTAGATGACGTGGCCGCGATATAACAAGTAAATATGGACATTCGTACTAGAGTGTTAGTGTATATGGAAGGGGACATGCAAGAGAGACGGTGTGATAGTGATGTGCAAAGAAAAGGCGACTGGTCTGAGATTAAGAGTTAAGGCCCAGGTGATCCAAACAAGAGACGATGCATCCGATGTCAGTGAAATCACCGATGTTCCTAATCTCACCGCGCCTCCGATATGAAGAGAACGACTGCAGAGCCGTGGTAAAGCTTTAAACACCACCTACCGAGCAGAACTTAAGAGGGAGAGCTGAAGGGAAGATCTGTCTGCAAGCTAACTTTCAAACGGATACTTGAGTTTATTAAGACAGGAATTTTAACAGTAGGAGCTTCACCTGAAACGTCATCTCCCGATTCATTTTTGCAGCTAAAATATTGCCAAATAGAATCTGTTTGGTTATTCTGCAAAGTTTGCTAGGTAATATCGCAATCCTGCTTTCTGTTTGGTTGCAAGAAATACAAATGATCAAGACCAGAGAGAGACAGCAAAAGCAGGACCTTAACTCACCAAGGTTCATGCCAGTTTACTAATAATCTGTCTAAAAATGCAAGATCACAGCAGTAGCAGCAGTAGCAGCAGTACAAAGCTAGGACAGTTTGGCTGTTTGACACTGTATAAAACCACACAGCTATGGGCATGACTTCTCTACGTTAAGTCTAGACTGTAGACGTGTGTCACCATTGGCTTACTGAAGGCAGCTTCCTAAGCTTTTTTTATGTGAGGAAGCCCTCTGAGAGACAACGTCATTGTGAAACACCTGCAGTATGTCTGGCAATAATACATTTAAAAAAAAAAAAAAAAAAAAAAGTGGATGGTTGGTGATTGTGCAAGTTCAAAATGTTTCAGCGCATCATGAAAACCCAATGATTCAGTGTTTAAAATATTTACAAAATATCTAAATGGTACTAAAATGATATGCCAACAATGCATTTCTCTCAAAAATATATAAAAATAAAACAAAGGAAAACAGAAAGCATAGAGAGATTCGAAGCGCTACACTAACGTACTGTGAAGCCTCAAGAATTAATACCCGGTGTCGTTCAGTGAGAAAATCCTAAACGAATGAACGTGGCGACACTCACACGCTTTGCACACACACACACACACACACACACACACACGCAGTGATCCAACCACAGAGGAGGGCTCTGATTTCTTAGAGTTGCGTACCGCGGCAGCACCCTGACCTAAAAGCCGTCGTCATCCCTACAGTGGCTCCGCCTGTCGAGCGAGGAGTCCGAGCCGCTGGGTGGGACTGGTGGCGCCCGCTGCCATGCTGTGTGTCCATATGGCTTTGGATGGAAAGATCTCAGTCTCTCTCTCCATTTATCCGTGTCCTCCGAGTCAGCTTCAGTTGGTTTTCATGGTGACATCTCGATTGCGCGCCTGTTCCTCCTCCTCCTCTTCCTCTTCCTCCTCCTCCTCTTCCTCCTCCTCCTCTTCCTCTTCCTGCTCATTGTCGTTCTTCCTGCGCCGGTTCTCGTTTAGGTCCTCCTCGTCGTTCTGAGCAGCAGTGGCGGCGGCGGCAGCGGCGGATGAGGCACCCTGAGTGGAGGAGGCGGCCTTTCTCTCCTGTCTCTCCTCGTCCTCGTTCTCCTCCTCCTCCTCGTCCTCTCCCTCCTCTTCCTCTTCTTCTTCCTCCTCCTCCTCACGGTCAAGAGCGAAGTAGCCGGTGCCTTTCACCGTGTCCTGGCGCTGGTAGAACAGCACGTAGCCTGCTTTGGACTACAGACAGACACAGACACACACACACACACACACACACACGAAATACATTATTCAGCTACACTGACTTAGATAATTCACATTACACAAAGCTGAAACATTACTGTGGCTCAGTTTCCATGTTGACATCTCTTTTTTTAACTTGGGTCAATGACCTTGCATGTTTTGTAATCCTTTCATAATGAGTTATACAACAACAGGAAGCTGATTAATGCAGTAATTACAACATTATTAGACATTCTTCCCCAGGCAAACCTACTGGGGGAACACCTCCTAAATTCTAATTGGTTAAATAAACAATAACTAATCTGTCTGTACAGGAAAAGTTCAAAGACAAGTTTGAAGATGTTATGTATTTTTTGTATTGTATAACAATTCCCATTAAAAAGGCCAAAATGGGTAATAAATTGATCCAAGTAACAAGTATTTTCTGTGTAGCTTAAGCCTGATATACAGTAGTTTAATCTGAAAACACACATCAGTGAGCTACACGGTTACACTGGGCCACACACACACAGTTTATTTTTAGTCAGTCACACATGTACCGTCCTGCAGCCAGAAAGAGACAAACCTATCAGAGGGCCAAATGTGCTTTAATCCGCAGCTAAAAACAGTTCCACTGAAATGCAGTTTACTTCTGTTCAAGTAACGTTCATGAAAAACAACAGTGCCCAGCTGTTTTAGCAAATTATGAACTGTTCTTAAAGATTTACAACTTCATTAGGATTAAATGGGCTTGTGTCTGAAAGAGCCACACAGGCAGAGGAAGCAGTCAGATACTGAGAGACGGAAGAACGTTGTTGGTTTCACTGGGTTTGTTAACAACAACAAAAATACAGAGCATCTCCAACCTTATTTAAATTCTGCTGCACTGACTGACTACTTTGCATCATCAGTCATGTCAGAAAATCAGATACCTCTAAATGCTAATTAAATGAATATTAAACACAAGGATAAGCACATTTTATGCCAAAATCATTATGGTTATCATCAGATTTTTCTAAGAGTCAAAGCCAAATAGTGCACCAAAGAACCAAACATCACGGCCTGGATTTCTGAGGCTGATACTGAACCAGACAAATGAATTTACTAAAGAGCTGTATCTGTAGTGATCACTCCTGTATTAAAAGTAATATTAGTCAAACAGGAGTGAGATATCTGAACGGGAATATTCTGTGAATTGCTTCATTCATGGAAATGAGGAAATGGTTTGCAGCTCATCTACAATACACATTAATGTAAAGAACTTCCACTCTTTTTAAACATAACCATATGCAAGAAATGTATGACATGTGGCGAATATGAAGGTCACTTCTTCGTTTTATTGCTGCCAACACTCCTTGAAAACGTGGAAAGTTTCTTGTGGGCTCTGAGGCGTAAAAGCCTTTACAAACTTTCTCAGTTACCCCCCACTGTCCACACGTCTTAATGAGACTTCACATGGTGTGAGTCTGGGTTTACTGCCTTGAATCACTGAGTTCTTTATATGTGCCAATTACTGTAAATTTAAACTGTCCAAAAATCAGTAATGGCAGCAAAATACCCATAACCCCTGAAAAGGTGTGCTCAGTAGCTTATGAAAGCCTTTTGGGAGTATGAGCGCAGTCGGATGTCTTTGTTCGGCAAAGTCATAATTAAATCATAATTTGTCACAACATTAAAAGTACATTACTTTGATGAAATTAACCGTTCCGGTTTGTGTACAGCGAATCCGCCTGTGTTGAATGTACAGTAGGTGTGCTGCCTGGCTTCTGCAAACGAGGAAACTCACCACTATTTGATCTTCATTGGCAGGTGACACGCTGCTGTCATCAAAGTTGTACCACTTTCCATCGTCTTTGTTCTTAGCGTAAGCAGTGTCTACAAGAAGTACAACGTTATACAAAGATTGTATTAATCAGGCTTTCCTCTTTCCAGGCTCACTTCATACACTCACACAGGTTTTTATGTTATAAAGTGGTTAGTAGCTTTGTCTGAAAAAGTTATTTCAGGGGAGAATGTATTTCTTTAAAAAATGTAAAATCTGTTCATATAAATGTAACTAGATTAAAGATGTGTATAGAGAACCAGGGACAGTTCTACATGTCACATACCCAACGTCCTATGCTGAAAAATGTATTCATGGCACTGTTCTATATTACAAGGACAGGGTTGCCTACAGAATGACAATGCAAACTCAACTCAAGTCCTTAAAAGAAACAGATTTATCTTAAATATGTGGAGAACCCCTGCTGTAAAGTCTGTGCTGAGTCAAACAAAGCTGTGTTTGATGTGTTTGAAGAAGTTACAAACACTGTTAGTCACGATTGATGTTAACATCAAGCTTGTTAGCCTGCTGCAATCACTGCTTTTCAGACGTGTCATAAATACTATATTTCTCTTGATAAAGAAAAGAGAACATGAGCATAAGACAGATATTTGCTGTTTGCTAGTCTTAGTGGTACCTGGCAATGAGACACAGAAAATCTGACACAAGCGATTTATATGCGAGTCTTACAGTGGCCTCCTCCCATTCCTCCGTAGTGGTTGGACACAGCGATGAGGTCGTAGCGACACGGCCCAGCGTTGGGGTTGATCAGAAACTCAGACATGTCCAGATCTCTAAAAGGAAAAACACAAATAACAGCATGTAACAACATAGCATGAAAACAAAAAAGAAAGTCAGCTCTGTGGTGGAATTTATATTAAACACAACTGAACTTTGCTACCATCTTAAGGGCATTTTTAAGAATTAATATCACAAGGCTGGTTTCAGTTGACAAATGCTAATGTTTAACTTCTCATGTAATTTTAGAAATAATGAATAAAAAAAAGTCAATTCTGTAACAGGATTCTGACAATAAGTGCCAGTGGTATTAAATCACTGGTGTCTGCATCACAATTAACAAATTTAAGTCATTTCATACAGAAGAAAAATGACTATACATTATAGACTGTCAAATTACTACTCCAAACTACTGTGTGTCAAGTGCAAAACACTGAATGTCCAGCAATCCCCAACACTTAGAAATCATCACACATAAAAACCAACAAGCCAAAGTTATTTTACTGAAATCTTAGCATGTGAAAAGAGTTTTTGTGTGTACGTACAGAATAGCACAGTAGTCTCAGACTTTTGGATCCCACTGTGTGTACTGTGAATATACTGAGCTGCATGTGGATGATATATTGCAGGTATGGGAAAATATGGGATACTCTCCTGAAAACATAGTGTTCTGCTCCAGGAACAAATTGGTTTTCCTCTGTGAGGGTGTGTGTGTGTGTGTGTGTGTGTGTGTGTGTGTGTGTGTGTGTACCTGAGCGGGAAGTCAACAAGGGAGTCCAGTTTATCTCTCATGTAGCGGCTGTAAGAGAAACGCTTCAGATGGACCACGAGCACAGGCGGCAGAGACCACAGGTCCAGCTTCTTAGTGGCCTGTTGGTGCTGCTTACAGTTCGGACAGTACCTGCGAGACCGGACACAGGGTAAGAAATGCATCATGATGCAGCATTTTGGCTGAGAGCTGGTGCAGCCAACTGCTTGTGACTTGTTTGTTTTGACTGTGCAGCGAGTGTCTCTCACCATGGGTCCTCTGCTCCCAGTTTTTCCTTTGTGGTGAACAGCTCGATGCAGTCCTTCAGCTTGAAGAAAGCCTTCTTCTGAGGCTTGTACTCCATGCTCTCGTGCTTGTCAAAGTCCTGCTCTCAGTCACACACACACACACACACACACACACACACACATCCACACACACAGCACAGCACACACACACAACGAGCACTACCACACACACAACACAACACAACACACACACACACACACAGACACACAGACACACAGACACACACAGAACTGTTGGAAAACATTTCTTGTAGCACTGTTGTATCTCATTGGACACAGCTTACCTCCCTGTCTAAAAATAGAACAGAAAGTGATAACACTTTACTTTGAAGAGGCCTTAAATGACACCATAATTAAAACCATTTTGCAGCCAAGGTTTTGTGCATAAATGGAGACCAAACCTGCGTAAATTCCATGTGTAGGAGGAGAAGGAAAGCACACATTTACTGCTCACTAACACGCCTTTAATTTGAATCCAACCCTGGTATTTACATCTCATAAAATTATACATACACTGATTATTTAAAATCTATTAAAATTATTTTATTAAAATCTATGAGGCGAACCCATTTATATTCTAGTTGTCAAATGGATGTGCTTATTTATTGCATCCTGTAACGAGCTGGACGTTTAATGCTGTTCTGAATGGTGCAGTGGCCGCTGCAGACATCAAACCTCTGACCTTTTGATTACAGCTCGTCACCAGGACTCCCTGTTGCTCTCGTCTGGGTCACACTGCCATATTTTGTAACCTGATGGCAGACTGTTGTTGTTATACACTAAGGGTGTGCGTGCTAAAACAGTGATGCAGCTCCTCTGCTACACTGACGCTGTAAAAATAGATATATGTATCCAAAGTTTCTGATATTGACTTTACCTCAACAACAGTCTCGTCAAAGTACTTCTTCTTGATCTCTGGCTCCCAGTCCAAGGAGAGATAAGAGCGGTCTGTGAAAATGTGGACAGAATGTAGATACACAAATCAGATGAGTCATCTTTAATTTTACTCTACACTCTTATCACCATCGTTTAGTTTCTCATTTCATGCATGTATCGACAGGATCATTTATTCTGAGGCTTATAAAATGATTCCTTTACTTTTCTATGCTGTGATTAAATTGTAAATGTGGGAAAAGTCCTTGGATACTAAGTAATGAACCTGATTATACTTTGCTTGAATTTTCATTTGAGGATATTATGGGAAGATTTATTTTCCTTCTAAAATGGGTTCTGTATATCCTCATTTCTCCCCCACTTCCTACCACTGAGTCGGAGGTGTCCCTCGTCAAAGCGGATCTGCCTGGTGTCCTCCTTGATGAGCGAGAAGTCTGTTTTGCCCATGTTATTGAACTGGAATGTAAAAAGTCTCTTTCTGTTGTGCTCGGCCGTCTGCTGGCCTTTGGTGGAGTTCTGTGGACCGACCACGCCGTTCTCCAGTTCGTTGTCCCCGCCCACAGAGTCCTCTGATTGGCTGTTGTCGTTCTCGGAGGGCAGCTCCTGATCCTGGCTCGACTCGTCGTCCTGCTCGTCGGTCTCCATCTCACCTGAAGGACAACAGAGCAGATTTTATATCACTCCTGCTGCTAAAGAAGAAATTTAAGTAACAAAACATGAAAACTTTACAGGAAGCGTATTTAACTTTAATGTGTGTGTGTGTGTGTGTGTGTGAGTGTGTGTGTATGTGTGTGTGTGTGTGTGTGTGTGGGGGGAGGTGTTTGTGCACTCACTCGGTGACCCCTCCTCCAGCAGACCATTAGTGGCGTTACCGTTGACAGTGTGTTGTTTGGGTGGCTGTGTCTCTTCACAATCCTCCTCATCCTCCTCTACTGAGGATCGCACAAACCGGCTGCAAACAAGAAGACATTTTTATTTGCAGCAACTGCACACGGAGTCTTTAAAAATGAAGGTTAAGTGAACATATGATCAGACAGTGTGAAACACGTGCACCTACCAGAGGCGCAGGAGCAGCATGTTGTAGAGTTTGTCCTCACTGAGGGTTCTGGGTACAGCGATGAGGAAGGGCTGTCCGAACAGCGGCGTGCTGGTGTGGTTGTAGCCTGATTGTTTGTACTTCTCCCTCAGGTGCACTGGGATCACTACGTGGTCTGTGTCCTCCACCCTGTTCACCGCCACCTCAAATCTGCACAGAGTAGTGGGGTCAGTTTTGAAGACGCACGGGACAAACTACAAGTCAGCTGCAGGCATGAAAGTGAAATCTACTTCTACTATATTATGTCTTTGGCAAATTAAGCAATTTAAACTGTTGCACTGCCAACTATTCTATGCTTTATGTCTCTGGTGTCACTAATGTTGTCCATAGTGAAGTCAAAACACAAACATTTGTCAAGTAAGGCTTCAAACCAGTCATAATTGAAGGTGATTAATAAGCCAGACTTAATGTTTCATTTTTCACATTAAAAGTTAATTAAAAGTTCTTTATATGGTGAACAAGGGCCAAGTCTGATTCTAATCAGAACTTAGATAATGCTGTTGTGATCAAAATTTGATATAAGAGTATGCTTGTCAGCCAAGCTTTACACTCACACATAGATATCATCTCTCTCCATGATGCTGCTGAGGTTCTCGTTGGTGGCGAAGATTCGGTGGAAACGGTGGTTGTAGATGTCAGTTACAATCATCTGGAGGATAAGAGATGGAGAGAAACAGGTCTTGAAAATGGAGGCTGATTGAACTGATAGGTGGACCTAACACTAGCGCTATTTAGTAACTTGTTAAAAGACTTAATATTTAGACATTATGATCCAATATAAAGGAGAAAGCGTTCTCTGAACTTAATAAACTAGTATGAGATCAAGATCATTTTTGTGCTCAGGATGCACTGATACAATGTTTATCCAGCTCCATATCCTTCCCTTCATCTATAGGAAACAGATACAACATTTTTTCCACTGGCTGCTGAAGTGGGTGGCAGGGACAGTTTAAAAGGGAACGGACTATTTTGGTCTGTTCTGTCTGAGGTGATGTCAACATTATATTGTGATGGCTTATAAGAGAGCAGGGTTACTGCCCAGAGCAGAGCTAAATGTGATGTTTATACCTTCTCAGCAGGAACCCCAGAAAGGCTGGAGAGGGAGGTACACAGGTCAGAGATGTAGCCCACCTTTGGCACGGTCAGCTTGTACTGAAACAGAAACACCTGGCCGTTACCTACTGTCTTCACTGGATATCATAATGTTATGATACTACACTACAGCACGTTTGCATGTTACCTGAGTGGGTTTGGCCAGAGGGTCCAGTCTGACTAGATAGACCTCCAGCGTGCGTTCCTTCTTCATGGGAAGTGGCAGCGTCAGGTAGCAGAAAGGATCAAAGGTCACAGACACCTTGGAGCACACAGGACACACCAGGGTGGACTTGAAAAGGCCGTGGAAGATGTCCACGATGATGGAGTCGTTTCTCTTGATGTGGTTCTCCCAGGCTTCCTCCGCCACCACCTGGAATACACAGCAAAGCAGAAACCAGCCATTACAAGAGACCAACAAATTGGAAAAATATTTTTAAAAAAATTTTTAAAAAAAAGAAATAAACATGCATCAAATCGAACATTTGGAAAAGGGACAGTTCTTATTGAGAAGGGCAATTTATAGCACAGAATAACTGAATGTCTGAACTACTGCTCATTAGTTGACGATCAATCTCGAGGATAAATATTAATATGTTTGGCCAACTACACGACACTTTCAGATCAGATTCAGTATTTCCCAAAACTTGTATAAAAACCCTGATTATTATAATATAAGCTGAACCTTGTCAGGCCTGCCGTTAGCGTCCTTTAGCTGGATGTAGGGCTTCTTCCTGATGCGGTTCAAGTCCTCGTGAAGGCCATCCAGGAGAAAGGCCAACAGCTCATGAGAGTCCTGCTGCTGGTAGCCCGAGAACTGGGGGGCAAAGCGGCCCACCTGGGTCTGGAGGATGAAAACACATGCACACATAGGGGGAAAAAAATGACGCATGAGGAGGAGTAAAGAGACAAGGAAAAAGAAAAGCTCTGAGGCTCTTTTCCATCTTTCAGATTGGAAGTGATGGTATGCTTTACATTCTCTGCTGCACCTACCTGTACAAACAAATGAAAGATAACGGCTACTGTGTGTGACACTTTTACAGACTCTCTTTTCTTTTTCTGTATAATCAATATAGTGTTCTGTTTTTAAACTTATCATAAAAAATGCTCAAAGAATTTTGCAGTTTTCCCGCTAAATGTTTTTACAAGTATTCACCTTGAAAGGCCTCGGGGTGACGTAGCTGTATTTGCCCGACCACAGCTGCTTGATAAGCTCGGCGTAGGCTCGGGCAATCTCCCCTTTCATGCCCAACGGGTTGTCCTCATTCAGTTCGTCTGTGTACTTGTCTTTGAGGAAGTACTCCGTCAGTGGAGGGATATTGCTTAAACACTGAGGGGGCACAAAAGCAGGAGAGGACAATTATCAGCAGAGGATGGATCACGGCACTTCACGAGATCTGCATTTCAACTTTCTGTACTGTCACTGTCTTTTTTTTTTGTTAAATACCTTTTAAAATATGTACATATTCAGGTTTGTGACCAAAGAAACTACATAAATTCTCTTATTACCACAAGCCTTCAGAACAGTTTCGACATTCATTCAACATTTCTTTTTTCTTGTATAGCACCTTGATCTTGGGAGATTTGTCTCTCCAGGCACAAACCATGGAGCATGGGCACATCTACATTTGGGTCAATGAGTCCAAAGTGCAGTCAAACACAGTTCTGCAGCACTTTTCCAATTTCTTCCAGACTTTGAACTTGGAAAGAATTAGAAAAATTTTCCACACTTTCCTGTGTCTGTGTAGAGCTCCCTGAAGGTGTGCTGGTTACCTGCACAGCAGAGTTCATGAAGCAGGTGTTGCCCAGGTTGGAGAGTCCACAGAGGCCTGAGCGTTCACTCTGCCTGCTCTGGTCTGAGTAGTCATAGCTGTTGCTGTAGGGGTGGTAGGACGGCAGACTATAGCTTGAATTCTTCACACTGTGCAAGAAACATACAAACGAACAAACAGGCGGGTTATACGGGGTTGGGTAGTCGTTGCTCAAATTGCTACAAGCAAAGAAAAGTTTACGGACATGTCATATTTCTACATCTATGTTAAGGTAACACGTTATATTTTATCAAGATAAAGTTGTTAATACATTAAAAAAACACACACAAGGCAAACACACAGCTTGAGTTTCCACTATTTCCTTTTAGACTGCAGACCAAACTACGATCCAAACCTATGACCCCCCCCACAAAGGCCCTTCTCAGGCTTCCTAGACAATTAGATCCTCCCCAGCTGCAGCAATCGGCAGACCTCTGGGGTGGCTGCAAGCCAGTGCTGGTCGTCTCTGCCTCCCACTGGTCAAGGGAAACAGCTGTGATGGCGGTGGAAGCAGTGGCCTCGCAGTTCAACACACGGTGGTCCACCCTTCTGCTGTCCAGCTCCACCGCCTCAGGCCTCAGGCACCACCAGCAACACAGGAGCATGACATCTCAGCCCCGCCCCGGCCCATGCCGGCCCACATGTCCGCAGGAAACTACACGGCCAGGAGCCTGATTGAGGTTCTGTTCGGGTCCGGTGCATGCAAATCCTGGTTTTTAGGGGTCAGGAAGGAAAGTCCAGCTCCAGTATTCCACTGTTGAGTCCTAATGATAACTCAGCTCAACCTAGTGCAGCTCCAGCAGCAGCTTCAATATAGTGCAGACCAAGTTTAGGTCTATGTTTGACTTCCAAGTCCAGCACAGGCCAACAACCAGACCACAAAGTGCATCAACACACAAAAACACACTCTTCTTCTTTCTTAGAGCTAACTAAGCAGCTCCCCTCTTCTCTTCTCCCCCCTTCTCCTTTTTCGGGCTCGACCGCCTGTCATCTTGTTATCCTCTCAGCCTCAGATGTCCTGTACTGTCCTGTACTGTCCTCTGGTCTCCTGCTCCTCCCTCTGGCCTGCCTGCTGCTCTCTGCCGCTCTACGGCTACCAGCAGATATTTATAGCAGCATCAGCAGCAGCAAGGATGCTCAAGACTACTGCTACCGAAGCTAGAGGTGCACAGAAAGAGAGAGAGAGAGGGATAGAGAGAGAGAGAGAAAGTGAGAGAGAGAGAGAGAGGGAGGGAGAGGCAGAGAGAATGGAGGGGGAGGGGCGGACAGTACAAGGGGGGGAGGCTGACAGAAGAGAAATGAGATGGGGATGGAGGGAGCAGCTGATCCACTGCATCCAGCTGAGGCTGCAGTATTCACAGGCCTAACTCTCTGAGTATCTCTCTACCACTCTCTCTCTCTAACATACATATACACACATACGTTAACACATGCACTCATGCCGACAAAACAATTATCCCCTTTTCTTCACACTTTCTTTCTTCACACTCAGCCACACATTCGACTGTGTTCTCCCTCATCTCAACACACTAACACAAATTCTCCCTCTCATTTTCCCCCTCTTGCTGTTAAAATGCACCCTATGACACTGTTAGCACCCCTCCTCAGTGAAACACACACACACACACACACACACACACACACACACACACACACACACACACACACACACACACACACACACACATTTGGGACACTCCCTCTTTCATCCTTGTTAATATGCCATGGGTGTCTGTATGGGAGCTTTTAAAGGGGAGGGTCTAAATAAATAAAATAAACCCAGAGAAAAGGGTGGTTTCATCACAGGGTGTGGAGGCAAGCGATGAGGGGAGCAGGAGCAGATGAAATGTATTCTGAAGGTCACTTAGACTGCAGAATGTGTGCATCGCAATGAGCTCAGGGGAGAGGAGAGGTAAGAGCACCAGAGAAGGACACAGAGAGGGGAGAGAGAGAGAGAGAGAGAGAGGGAGAGAGAGGGAGAGAGAGAGAGAGAGAGAGCCTGCCAGAATCAGGGGACACCGCCTTGTATGACACTGACACTTACTGCTGTTACAGAGCATCGCTACTGAGGCTAAACTGACCGGACCAAAACCACAAAATCAAAAAGACAAGTGTTATGTAATGCGAGAGCACTTAAAATGAAAAGAAAAAAAAACAAAAAAAAAAAACAGGCCCCATGCATAATTCAGCCGAAACGACAGCACTGGCACTACAGTGAATCAGGGACAGGAGAGCTGCTGGGACTGAAGATCCAATTTCCCCAAGTCACCCACACTATGCATTCCACAAACACTGTGCGGAAAAAGATGCCACTGGTATCAAATTATATAATGTAGAGAAATGACAATGTGAAACCATGATCCCAACTACAAGCCAGTATTATAATGCACTGAGATATAATGGGTGAGATTATCTTTTACTGTAAAGCCAGTAAGTGTAGGAAGGACGGGCTCAGTTCACTTCACTCCCATCCACCTTCCTTCTTTATCAATATTGATTTTTCGGGTGGCCGAGCTTGTGGCTGTTATATCTGCATTCCAACAGTATTAAGAAATGCAATGCAACGTGACAACATCCGAGATGCACACACACACACACGGATACACTCCAGCATGCAGTAAATCACAGACATTAGGTGGAAGAAGGGGACAGTAAAAGTCCAGTGGACAGCAGAGGCAGAAAGCTCCACCCACAGACGAGCAGTGCTCTCTAACAGAGGGCCGACACATCCTCTGGGTCCCATTGCTTTAGAGGAAAGCCTTAATCAGGTTACAGTAACGTTTCCACAAAACAGAAACTGAAAGCTGAAAAGAAACTGAGCTGTATTCCATTCATTCACTGGCATAGGAAGAAATCCAGACTGAATGATATTTGAGATGTTTTCTGTGATTTGACCTCATGCAACGCAACACTTACATCACCTCTCTCTTGAGTAAGGGTGATAAAGAACACTTAAGCATTTGATGTATGGGCTAGCATTAGGGCTGCATGTTTAAGCATATAGTGATTTTTAAAGGGGAAACAATAATGTACATTATTTGTATGTTAAATCATTGATATCTATATAACCTCTGATATAAGCTGTCAGATACCAGAATGAGTCACACACGGCTGGAGCAACAACGCTCAACAACTAAAACTAGTAAAGATGGAGGTTTGGGTCAAATCTTACAGTGCTCATCTTTGGAAATGAGCAAAGTAGACATGAAAGGATCTGAGTATCTGAACATGAAAACATTGTTGTTAATCAATGTAGAAGACTTTCTTTTATTCAGTGGAATGCTGTCAAGCTTGTAACTTAGCCTCAAGTACAGTTTTAATATCTGAGAGTTGTAATTATGTGCACATTAAGATACAACAGCACTGCCTTTAAACAACATAAGGACTGTGTTGGTGTGGGAGCAGTGCTTCCAAAACACCACACAAAGCCACTTAAGTCTGGAAAGTTATCATGGCAACGATTATGTTATGTTTTGTAGCATCAGTAGAAATACACCATGAAAGTGGGTTCAGCTTTTTTGCTAAAGAATCCTGCGTTTCTTTTCCTGCTGCGTTTCTAAACTGGCCTCATTCAACTTAAAAAGGAGATGCAGGCCAAGAAATCTCACATAGGCCATCTTTGAAAAATATAACCGAGGCAATGTAGTAAAACTGATCAGCCTGCAGAAAAGCCTTCTTAATTTGAAAACAATTTAGTTCATTTAAGTAGATCATGTTGTTTGGATATTCCTAGGTGTTAAATCAGAGGTTCCGTCTGTCTCAGGCTTGTCGTTGTACCCCAAATACATTGCTGATATGTCATTATTTGAGTGTTGTGATTGACTGTTGGATAAGGCAGTAATTGTGGAATCAAGGCCCTGTGGCACCGACTAATGTGAGAAATAATTAACACATTAACCATAATCATGCAGCCCTAGCCAAAGCTATCAATCAGTCAGGTAGAAAATCAGATGCAAACTATTAACTAACATAATTAACCGCTGACTAAGGCACCCAGGGGCACCAGTGGGCCATTTACAGAGAGCACTGCTGTCGCTGAAGAAAATACCAAAGAGATCAATCCCTCAAAAGCCCCTGCCCCCTCCCTGCTATCAACTCGTACAGCTGAAACTGCAGCATCAGGAGACAGCTTTAAGCCCCAAACGACAGCCAGAGATAGACCTGTAGAAAACAAACTTTGACACACTTGATGCTGAGGTACTGTAAACTGCTTCAATAATTATGACTGAATTGCGGAATGAGTGTAAATTGAGCACAATAGACTTTAGAACCACTTCATAAGTCAATTCGATCTGAAATTCCAGCCAAGTTAACGTCAAGGTCTGCGCTGAGCTACGCTTCCAGGCTCCATCTCTGGCTGTCAACATCCAAACCCACCCCTCAGCTGTTCAACCCACTACTAAGCCTTACTTCCTGCTGTTGAAGCTGCTGTTATGATTGTTTGTGAGAGATGAAGGCGAGATCTTTGGCAAAGCAGAGAGATTGGAAGCACCAGATGACCTTCAAAAGATAAAGAATAGATCATGAGTTAGAGTAGAGAAAATAAGGAGCCATTCAAGAAAGGTGTGTGAAGTGTCCATTAAATAAAACTGAGATGAAATAAAATAAAGAGAGGGATATGTCAGCAACAAAACGTCAAGCAAAAGAGGTAGGCAAAGTCGTAGAGAGGAGGAATATTTTGAAGATGATGAGGTGCTGTCGTGACATAGCAGGGAAACTTTTAAAAAGGGTTTAAATTTGGCAATTTCCAAAGAGAAGGCAATTGAAAAGTGTTTCAGGAAACTTCCCAGACAAGGAATTCTGGTGCTGTGTCACATCATTTAACTTTTTTTCCCCTTCAAACTGAGCAAATTAAAAAAAAAAATAAATTCAATAATACACTGCCTACTGTATGTGTTATCACCAGTAGTGTTTGAATAGAGCATGGAGATTGCCTTCCATTTCTGTGGTAACATCTTCCTTCTGTCAACAAAGAAATATAAGCCAGGTGATGTGCCGTTCACTCACTTGGAAAAAAAAAATAAATTCAATAATACACTGCCTACTGTATGTGTTATCACCAGTAGTGTTTGAATAGAGCATGGAGATTGCCTTCCATTTCTGTGGTAACATCTTCCTTCTGTCAACAAAGAAATATAAGCCAGGTGATGTGCCGTTCACTCACTTGGGTGCCGTGGAGCCTCGGGGCCATGAGCCATCCTCATTCTTCTGCTCTATTACAAGAACCTGTGGGAGACGGCAGAAAGAAAAGAGGGCTCCATCTGCTTTTACTAGTTTAAAGATGCCAACTCACTTAAGTATCTGCTCATCTGCACTCTGAACAAATAAGCTGCGTTTCTCTTAACTTTTTAATAATGCAGAAGCGGATGAAAGTTGAGACATATTTTGAGAAATGCAATCGATGGTTAACAACTCTGTTTAATTTTTTGTTTCCTTTACACACAGTAGCCTTTTCGAATGGGGAAAGACAGGAAGCCGGACGGATCTTATCTTCTGTTTCACTCGGTAGAGGATTTGTCTGAGGCTTAGCAATCCTCTAGAGCAGCTGCTGGTGAAAAGGACAGCCCTCTGATCAGAGGCTTCCTGGCTCACTATGGCCAGGTGTCTAAATGAATCGGAGTTAGAGTCAACTGCCAGGTGGATGCCAGGACATACATGTTTAAGCAGCTTACACAGAGAGGTAGAGTGCCTCATGGCAGCTGACAAACAGATGTTGTGGGTTTCGACACTGAAACCATCTCAATACAGGATGATCTTAGCGTATTATCTTAGCACAACTCCAGCTTCACTGTCGAGGGTAATTTAAATAATCGGATTTTCTTATTAATAAGTTTATATTTTGCTACTTCCCATTGCCGGATGTTTTACTTTTATTGCGTTTCTTGCTCTAACAACCCCATGTCAAGGTTTTTCTGCAGTGATGTTAAATGTTTACCTAGGAAAGAACCAGGAGAGAACCCTGGTAGCTAGTAGGAGCAGTGATGAAAAGAAAGAGCAGCATCTACAGCGACTTAAACTACAACAGACACTGTGTTTAAATGGTACATTATAAAGAATTGAACGCAAAAAAGTAGGTAATTCACTTGATTTTCAAATCAGTTTTTGTCTGAATGTGGTAGTGTGATTACTTATTGTGCCCTCTGCTGGCCGTGATAACCCATTGGATACAGAGTCAAACAGAGCAGGAAAAGAGGGGTTTTTTTAAAGCTCCACTCCAAATTGTTCTCACATTGTAACCATTGCAGATGGAAGCTCCTACCTGTCCTTGGTAGAGGCCAGCGTCCTGGATGGTGCTGTCAGGTTTGTTGAGAGGCTCAAACGTGTTGCTCATGTACCTGTTCCACAGCCTGGTCTCCTTCTCATCGGGGATGCTAAACAGCTTCCTCATCTCCTTCTCTATCATATCTGCAGCAAAGTGTGAATATTATCAACAAAAAAAAAAAAAAAAGGATTTGGTTTCAAACAGCACTTACTGGCAGGATGGAAAATGAAAAGACTCCACAAAAACTCTTCAACCACAAAAGAGGAACTAATTGGTGAATTCATCTATTATCACATTTGCTTTTTTGGGGCATGAATGGAAAAGACAGAAAGTCATTGACATAAAGAAATTGGGTTTTGTAACTAGACAAAAACCTGGATTACAGAAGCAATCTTGTGTTTGATTCTTTACTAGTGAAGTGTTATTATTAGTGTGCATTACTAGAGTGAAGGTTATTTGTGGTGAAGACTAAGACATAACAAGTTACAGCAAGTAAGATCTTTCATCGTCAACAGACTAGTGAGCATGTTTGTTCAGACATTACATGATTACTCAAGAATAACATGACCACTGTGTATAATCATTGCCTTTTGTGAATGTGTACAGAATGTGTCTGAGTGTGTTTGGGTCTCAAAATCATGACAATTGCTCTTACTTAATGTTTAAAGTAAAGTTTTAAAAAGGAAGACATTTACAGTGACAATTTTGGTGAAGACCCACGTCATTTAAGGAGCTCAGGTCAACTTGGAACTGCTTGGCTGTCACTTTAGTAACACCAGCAGTGTTTATAGACAGTTACTCCAGGGTGACTCAGGCCTACCTATTGTGTCAGCTTTACTGAAGCGTCTGGTGATCACATTGTCCATGTTGCTGTCTTCACAGAGCTTCAGCTCCGTCAGGTACACCTCTACCTTGCAGTGCTTCACAAACATACCCTGTTCCACCACCTGGAGAGACCAAACACAGGGGTATTATTAACTATTCATGTCTTTCAATGTTGAATCCATGATTAATTATATGCAAATGCAGTATATTGGAGATATGCAGCCTCCTGCTTGACAGCTAGCAACATTTGTCAACCAAACAGAGATCTGACCTGGAGCAAGTAAGCTTACAATTGTACCAGCTTGCAATCTGCAATTGTAATATAAAAGCTGCATATAAGATACAGCTCTTATATTATGTTATTCTAATTATCTACTTGCTGTCTTAAACAATGACATTAAACAGGTAAATTGTGGGTTGTACTAGCCACTGTTTCTAGTGGATAACAAAGCAGGGTTTGCTGGCCTGGTTGCCACTCATCTGGTGTCCTGATAGGAGCAGAGTCAGACTGAAGTGCCTAAATTAGCAGCACCTCGTAGAAACAGCTGAGGGGTCCCGGCCTATTTATTTCACCGCTGAGCCCCTCCAACACACGCTCATATCTACACACAGTACCAACTTCAGAAATGTCCATGAGAACTGCAATAGTCATGCACACACACTCACGGCTCAGATTCTCCCCCCGGCCCCTCCCCTACCCAAGCCCCGATTCCCCCAGTGGGCTCATCCTACCCCTCAGCACAACACCCATGTGTTTGTAAGCTCGGAGCAAAAAGCCCAACTCATAGCCAAACTGTGACAGAATTTCTCAAATCAGAGCCGGGCCAAAACCATTTACCCCACCCACCCGCACTCCTCCTATACTGGTTATGCCTCTTGCACTCCTCTCAAAAGCTTTCACGCTGTTTCTCTCAGTGTGACCTCAGCCGGCATTCCTCCACTTCAAAAAACAAGGACACGCAGGAACACTCCGCTGCTGTTGGCAATCAGACCAGAAGAGGACAGCGGAAGGAAACATAGCACCAAACCTGTAACTAAAATCCTCCTAAATCCTTTTTTAACACTTGTGTTCCCCCCGCACCTCAGGATGACACCCCCACAAAAGAAACAAAGAGTTTAAAAAAAAAAGGAAAACTAATAATGAACCTCCTGCATGTTGTGTCTCGCAGATCGCTCCATGTAGCTTTTCAGTCATCCAGAACGTTGCCTGAAAATAGAAACCCGGCGGCCACCCGATACATCCCACGACATACATGGCAAAAGGGGAGGGTCAATGGAAGAGGGTGGGGGGGGTGGCGAGAGAGAAAATTATAGAGATGGAGGGGGAAGAGGACCCTCTTCTAGCAGCCATGATGCCATGACTAGCGAGATTTGAGGCAGGGATTTGATACTGTGGGTCCAGTTAAGCTGTAGCCGCCATCATGAAGTATTCTACTAACTTATCAACTGTAACCACACATACAGCCAAATTTGCACCAAAGAACTCATTAACCCGACAATAGATAATTACAGTTCGTGACAGTTTTGTGAATGAAAAGCTGAAGGGAATGAATGAAAAGCACCATCATTGTTGCTTTCTATTAATGTTTCTGGCTCTTGTGCAGGGTATCTTTGTACATAACTGACTAACTGACAAATCAAGCCAACTAGTCAGAACATACTACAGCATTTCTTATGGTTAAACCTAAGCAAACAGTATTCCAATCTGTACTAAATGCAGTGCTTAACTGTCTGTCAAGTTTTACAATTGTACATTTTTTTAATTTTACAATTGTGCTGCATGTCTGACACCCTGATCTCAAATGGCCTTATTAGCAAACATTTCTCCCTTTAAACCCATCACAAGCCACACTAAGCACCATACCTGCTAACCACAACCATTACATTGCATCAGAGAAAACCACCTTTACTGGTGTTCTATTGCCCCATCAGTTCTATTACCAATGCAGTGAGGAGTGCAGGCTCCGTCCCTCTAATCCATACATAGTCTTATGCTAATTACTGGATCCTTACCTTGCGTGCAATTGGCTCCTGACCCTCTGTCAGTCCGTACCAACTGACAAGCTTATTCCAGCCCTCTGTGGGGACCAGGATGTAGTCCAGCTCATCGATGAGGTGCTCCTTGATGGCCAGCACATCCCCATCTAGAGGGAGGGAGGGAGGAAGACAAGCATATTTAGTGAGAGTAACAATAACAGGTCACTTACATTACTGACCCTGCACTGACTGTCTCATGTAATACAAAACACACAAAGAAAAAGGTATGCTGGAGAGCTTTCTATGAACCCCCAAAAAGCCTGCTCTATGGAGTTTGTCAACAATGTTGTTTTCATTCCCTTTTCCTCTGAACTCTTTGTTATTACTTCCAGAATGACTAAGCTATACTACCCTGGGGTTCCAGCCAGAGTGATGTAAAGGCCGCACAGTATTTACAATATATTCATAAAGATGATTTGGGATCTAAAAAGATAAAGCATCATCTGTCTTACCTCTGAGAAGACCAGAGTTATCAACGGGTCCTGGGTAGACATTCTGGTCTCCCATCTGGTACTTGTCCCAACTGTCAAATCCGACATATTTCTTCCACTGTTTAAACCAGTGACTGTCCACAAGGTACCTGCAGAGAAGGTAGGCAGTAATATATCAGCTCTCATAAAGCAAGGTGGGGTATTGTTAATCAGTCTAGATTGCTCAAGGCTCATGCAACAAACTTTAAGGTGTTAACGGAAACTTTTGTATTTCTTTTAACACGTTAAATGGTGATATTAGCAATACTTCGGCAGGTAAAGGCTACCTTTCCGCCAGTGACCTAAACAAACCTGCCTTTGAGAGGCAAACATTATACAGATTGATAGTTGTAACAGTAGCTCTGTTGACGCCGAGTTGAGTTCAGGTTGCTGCATGCCTGGCCAGCTGGCTCTGTGATTTTGACAGGTGCTTTTTTTCCGACTCCGCCCTTCCGAAGTCGACAGATGAACCCACTGACTGGCGAACTACTTAGAGCTTCGGTGGTCTAGCCAAGTAGCTAGATATTAGCCTGCTAACTAGGTCCGACAAAACGATATGTAGCCTCGCAGAGATCATGTCATGAGATAAAAAGCGAGGCGGTAGTTTGTAAGTGGTGAAAACAACCACCAGAATACAACACTTAAAAGATATGTGGGGTCAGTCGTTCTTCACTGACAGTCTAATAGCTAGCGTTAGCTCAAGCAGCGCTAGCCTGCCGAGCTGACACACATGAAGCTGACAGGAATCCGTTAGCTAGCTCGAAGCTAACTGTCAACACGGCCCGTCACCTCGGCTTTCTTATCCCTCATGGCCTTGACAGCCTCGGCGGAGCAAGCCGACGGCCACGCAGCATCTCTGAAAAGGTTTCAGCTCAAGTCTTACCAAGTGTCTCCTTTTCTTAGCTGTGTTTTCAACAGTGCCGCGACCTCTCCTCTCTGGGTATCCAGATCAGCCGCTCCTCCTTCCGCCATCTTTCCTCAGACATCACCCGCTGCATGGTGGGAAAGCGTGGGGCGTCACCGAGGCACGTAGAAGTGACGCCGCTGTTCCAGCCAATCAGCAGCTCACTGACAGCTAAGGCGTAGCATGACACCTAGTGGTAAACTTATTCTAGAAAAATGCTCCAAAACTGCCCCATCATTGTGGCTGCACAGCATTTTTGATGTCTGAGAAACTGTCTTCACCAACTTCTTTATCCAGGAGCATTTGATATTTTTTTTATCATGAGCTCAATATGTAATAGCCATATCTAGTACAGAATTAGTCAATGGACCTAGTCAGATATTTAATTTAATAACTGTCCATTTTTTAACCTGATTTTCCTGATCATAAATGAGACATTCTTTCCTACTGTGCAACAGTAAAATGCTTAATCCTGAAAGTCTTTTATTAGAGTGCCAGGTCCTTAGTATGGGAAGCACAGCACTGATATCATGCAGAGACACATTATGTAAACTAAATTTTTTCATTGCATATCAATAATGAATTCATAAAGTAAGAACAATTATGAATAAATAATGATAAAGATGATATGTATAATGTTACATAATAATTCAAAGGGGTATTCTAGAAAATAAACAAAAGTGCCACTGGCAGTGATGTACGGCCTCTAAGTCTAATGTTGTCCTACACTTCCTATCTTTTCATTAGAGCCTCCCTGATTGCCCAAATGCCCATGCCTTTCAGACTCCATGTCTCCAGTTCACAATGAAAGATTTCCTTTAAAATTTTGAACAATAACTTCAGCAGTGGTTTTTTCTCACTCCCACCAGAGAAAAGAAATGACAGTAACATCGTCGTAAAATGGTTCAAGACAACTTTAAAATTAGCATGTTTATTTAAAAACGTACTTACAAGATTCACATTTATTTGTACAGTCATATTATGTTACAGTACAAAATATGAAACTACATTGTTTGTACTATGTTAGTCCTAAAACTACTGCCCTGCTACATTGCTATAATTATAATTCTCACTAGCATTCTATATTTTCACAGTCTATTCGGTAAAATATAACATTTTATTTCAATTCCCGTAAATACAAAAAGGAAAATTCCCCCAATCAGTTATGATAATACAATATATGATACAAGTATGACTCAGAAGCCATGAAGTGATGTCAGATACACGAGGAGACTTGTAGCCCACTTTTTAGTGGTAACAAATGATTATCCTGTACTCTCACTGATTTTGCCATCATATACATTTACACAAAACTCATCCTTACATGCAGACTTAAACATTTATTTTGAAACTTTTGGAGGAACCTGTGTGTCTGTCTCTACCGTTACCATATTTAAATGAAATGAAAATGCCATTAACTTCTATTATGAACTTGTGACATTTTTTCTGAACGATGCTGACTGAACAACTGCTGATACATTTCAGCCAACTACTGTATTTACATTGTCTATGAAATGCAGAGCTGAACAATATATGCCAACATATTAATGGATTTCAGTTTGAATAGAGCAAATTACTTTTGTCCCTGAAAAAATGCCCTTGTCCCCTCTAAAACGTCTAAGTAATCCAATAAATGCCAAACTACTTTTTAATTTAATTTTCCTTATCTTTCTTTCCTGAAATGTACAGGTGCTGCCAAACCCAACTCCTGAGTCCTCCATAAATGTTATGTATTAAAGTAGATGATGTGATGTTTGTTGTATCTTTCCCTGTAGTGATCTCTGGGATGGAGGAAGGGTTGCAGCAAGTCAATAATGGAACCAAAACCCACATGTCTCTCCGATACACTTCACCGCTGGGGCCTCATACGTTGGAGTCTCTCTCTAAAACAGGAAAGTAGCCGTTTCTAGTCATGGTGGCATCTCCCTCAGGGGCAAAGATGGCCAATAACCTCTCCTGCTCCCTCTTGGTTTTGGGTAAATCATCAGATGGTGTGATGAGCAGCTGGATGCGCTGTAGAAAAATAAATCAGTGTTAATGGGGTGTAGTTATTTTTTTAAGTCAAGACCAAGTTCAGAGGGGCTACAGACCAAGTCACTCAGAGTAAGACCAGAGGAAATTAAGTCTGATACAAGACCAAGATATGTCACAGTTAAGAAGTGCCATGGGTCTCTCTCTTTCCGGATTAACATTACCTCTCGGAGTGTCCCCTGGGTAGTGCTGATCTTGTACACCATCCACAGTGGGATGCAGACCATGGAGGAGAGAGCGAGCAGCCAGCCGATGACATAGCCCCACCACGGGTACACATACTCATTGTTGTACTTCAGAGGCGTGTATTTGATGAGGGAGAAGGCAAAGGTACCCTGCAGAAACATGTGGACAAATATTACTATTGGTGAGGAACCGGCAAATTATTTCTTTTCATTTCTGCAAGAGGAGAGGGGCGAAGGCCTCGGGTGTGGTCGGCCTCTGTCATATTTCGGAAAGCCTTGGCTTACAACTTCATTAGTTTGTTGATACTCACAATGCATGTGGCCGGGGTGAAGAACAACCAACAGTACTTGATGTAAGGTCCCGGGCGGTAGCCAATCATGTCCTCGATGTTGTCATAAAAGCGATCTGCACCTGCAAAAACACAGTAAAGACGTTTTTAAGACGTTTTAACATGCGTGCACCTTAAAACCCACAGCTGAATGTCAACAAATACTCTACGCTAATAATAGTAATAATAAAAAAAAATTTAAAAAAACAGTCTGGATACCAGCTTACCATAGACCCATGCAATGCAGACAGTCTCAAAGATGGACATGAAGAGAAGACACATGCCACTGGCTGCATAGTAATCAAAGAGCTGGAAGACATACATGCCCCCCTACAGAGAGAGAGAGAGAGAGGTAGTATTTAGTCATAAATAACCTGCATCATTTAATCTATTTGTTTTCACACAAAACTGACTGACATTTCATTGAATGGTCTAATGAACTAAATTGAAATTTAGCCCAGTTTACGCTCTGCGAGTTGAACATCTAATTCCTGGAACATACACAAACCACAGGGAAATAGAAAAGACAGAATTATATATTTATATATATATTATATATTTATATATATATTACATATAGAGGAAATAAAGCGAAATCCATTGTTTATGTGTAGATACTACAAAAAGTGATGAAGTTATGGGACTTTTTTTGTTTTTTCTGACTTCAAAAGTAAAAAAAAATTTTAAAAAATTTTAAAAAATCTGAAAATCTTCAACTTGACTTGTACGAGTATGACTTAGCAGAAAAAAAATCTATTCTACCATATATGGTTCATGAATATATCCAGCATAAACTGAAATGTCTCAGCTGTTTATATTTATATATTGTTGCCACAGACTGGAGACACTGACAGAGGGCGGCTGATAAAGCGAAGTGTGGGTGGAGTACAGCGAATCTGTTTCAAGGTCATTTCATTCATGTTGATGAGGAAAAGTACCAAACTGTATTGAGCTGCCCATTAAGGCAACGTTACCTCATTTGCAATGACTACTATGTTGTCTGTGTGTGTGTGTGTGTGTGTGTGTGTGTGTGTGTGTGTGTGTGTGTGTGTGTGTGTGTGTGTGTGTGTGTGTGTGTGTGTGTGTGTGTGTGTTTTAGCACAAACTAAATCTAGATGACATGTTAACATAAGTATTTTGGATGTGGCATCTTTTTGCAGTACTTAAAAATACCAATTCTATAAAGCTTATTATAGAGAGTTTTTAAAGGAACTGAAGCTCAAAATGTCGAGACTTCAGACAGGATTTATGACTAAGGGCGCTGCATAACAACGCTTGAGACTTACCTGAGACGTGTTGCACAAAACCTTTGACTTGCTTGTACTTACAAAATGATGACTTGTTGACACCTCTGCAGAGCATTCATGTTTCCAGCTGTGCAGAGGTGAAACCATGTCAACCATGTTGGACTCCGTAAGAATTTATTTCAACATAAAAAAAAAACATCCTGACCTGGTTTATCCCCCTCCTCGAGCAACAGCCTGATTTGGAGTGTGTATATGTGTGTGTAACATATTGCATTCGTCTCAGAGGAGATATTTAATAGCATATTATCTCAATGCTGTTTTGGAAGCAATTTCATCACGTTAGGAAACATATCATGAGTTAAAACACCTTAGGTATTAAAAATGAAACATTTTCAAACACTGAATATGGAAAACTTTTACTATGAAAATACTGTTATCGCCCGGGGAAACCTCAGTGAGTTTATGCTTGCAGATCTTTGTCTCTGTGCATGCATCTGTGTGTGTACAGCCTGCATCAGTGTGCGTGGTCCCAGAGTGTGACCCCTACCTCCATCAGCATGATGAGGCCCATGAGGAAGGAGAAGAGGGAGGCACCTAACAGGAAGAGCTCCCTGCGGTTTTTACGGCGGAACACGGCGGGGTACATGTCGACTATCGCCGTCACAAGGCTCTCGACGCACACAAACTGATGGGAAGGAGCACAGAGGGAAGAAGGGAAAGAGGACAGGTAGACACAGTTTTTGTTCAGTGATCCTTATTGCTGTGGGAAATGAAAAGTTTTGAAAGGACCATTCTTTAACTAAATGTAGTGCAGGACTTTCTACCTGGCTGTCCAGCCCCAGAAAAACAATCATGATGAAGAAGAGGGCGGCCCACAGAGGAGAGAAGGGCATCATGGACACAGCACGGGGGTAAGCTATGAAGGCAAGGCCGGGACCTATAGAGAAAAACAACTTAAACTGAAAACTTAAACTGATAAAAAAAAAAAAAAAAAAATCCTGGCACTAAGGATAAAAACAGATTATTGTTTGTATTCCTTAGTTTATGCAAACCTCACCAGATTCTGCTACTTCTGAGATGGGAACATTCTGTTCATAAGACATGAAGCCCAGGATGGAGAAGATTGCAAAGCCTGCCACAAAACTAGTGCCGCTGTTCAAGAAGCACAGTGACAGGCAATCTCTGCAACAGACAGCAGGTTTTTATTATAGCAGTGGAACAAATATACTGTAACTCATAGAAAATGTAATTGGGAATTTGATATTTTCAGTATAATTCTGCAGCAGATTGAGAAATGTTGTGCAAAGATTTTACATAATCTTAAAAAGAACCTCCTGCTTATTAGACACTGCTTACATACTTGTAACAGTTATTGTTGTATTTGTTGTAGCTGCCCAGAGCCGTCAGCGACCCTAAACAGATGGCGTAGGAGAAGAAGATCTGGGTGCCAGCGTCCATCCACACCTAAGACACACAGAAGAAAAAAAATGTAAAAAGATTTCTTTAATTTAAAAAAAAAAAAAAAAAGCTGCTGAAATTTAAAGTGGTGCAAAAATGCATATCCAGCATAGGAGCATGCACACACTTAGGCTGATGTATATATGCAAACGTGCTATCCAGTGTTTGGACAATCCAAAGGAATTCACATGCTAAGTTTCCCCATGCACAATCATTGACCAATGCAGTTGCACAATAGTAAAACTGTTAAAAAATCTGTCATTGGTCTTGTTCGTCTTAACACTGATTAACAAACCAAGATTATATGGATATAGAGAGTGCAGGATCTGTGACGGACAGCTGAATCAGATATTTTTTTCTAGTGACAGGTCATCTTAAAACACATCCCTTATCATATCAGAATAAATGGCTGAATTACAAACGAAGACAGGGCTGAGCCAGATGGAGACGACAAAATAATAACAGAACTTGACAACGAGAGAATTATGGACATGGAGACTCTGACAGAGCCTTTCTGATTGGACCTTTGCTACTCTGAGCTGAGGAGAGCCAGTTAAAACTCCTCTCCCATCGAGAAGAGGCCTGGTTAATAGTCTGTCTGCTCTACAGTCCTGGTAGAGCTCGTGTTTATAGTCTCAGCGGTGTCCTGCCCCGGACTTGATCCCTGCACTCCCTGCCTCTTTCATGGAGAGCAGATGGACCCAGCAGTAACTAGGCTCCCCTAGCAGAGAACCATGGGATACCTGCACCTGGTGTGCCCTCGCCCACGGGGAGCAGAACACAGAAAAGGCCCTCATTGGGATTTTTGTGGTTGGAGGGGTTAGGGTTAGGGTTAGGTAGCTAAACACATACCAGATACATGCAGCAGTGTTCAGTAAATTTTCTTGTGCGTGCGAGATCTTGCTACCTGTGGGTCCGCCAGTCGTCCCAGGTCAGGGTAAAGGTAGAACTGGATGCCAATCCCAGCACCAGGCAGCGTGAGCCCTCTGATCAGCAGCACAATCAGCATCACATAGGGGAAGGTCGCAGTGAAGTAGACCACCTATACAGACACACACACACACACACACACACACACACACACACACACACACACACACGCACACACACACACATAGTGATGTTAAATATGCAAACAAGAATCATGCCAATAAGAAAAAATAAACACCAGATGTCATCCTAATTTGACCTAGATCTGTTATAATAGATAAAGAAAGGGTCACCTGGTATTTTCTCTTGCGCTCTCACTGAGGTGCAGATTAGGATAAGACTCTGAATCACCTCTCACCCACCTTTCCTGTGGATTTCACCCCTTTCCAGATGCAGAAGTAGCACATGACCCAGGCGATGAACAGACACAGGGCCAGGTCCCAGTTCAGAGAGCCCATTTGGTCAATGCCTGGGGAAATTCTCAGCGCTCTTCTCCTGGAGAGGCAATAAAGAAACACAAGGTTGACGCATTATTGTTGGGATTATATGAGTAATGCATCATCATCAGGAGGAAGTTCAGCTGTTTGAAAACTCACTCCCAGAACTCGATGACAGGAGAGGTGACATTCAGGTTGATTGTCTGGTTGACTGAGGTGTTTCTCCTCTGAAACTCCACACAGTTTTCTGGGGGGGGGGGACAAAATGGAGAAATTCTTAAACATATCAAAGACATCAGTGGGAGCCTCTGCTGTATTTTAATGCATACTTGTTACCTGTGTTCCATGTGTTGTTGCAGGATGACCAGGCCAGGTCCCAAGAGAAGGAGAAAGACAGGTAGAAAATCCCCCAGGCCAGAACGATGATGTAGTAGAAGTTCAACAGAGTCACTATCACCTGGGTACCATAGCCGAGACCTGCAGAAATGACATTTTAGTACATGGAGTATGCCACAAATCATAACAATAATTGTGAAATGTGAAAATCAACCAGTGAATTTTGCAAAACCAAACAAGCAAGAGCCTCAGACTGAAAGACACTTTCTCTTTGTGGTTATTTTTGCATCTTTTTGTCTCTTCATAGTCGTTTTGAGTCTCTGTTTTTGTGGTGATTATTATAACAGTGACCTCAAACAGAGGATCCAGTACAGGGGCCCCCCTCTGACCTCTTGGGCCCCTGGGCCCTGTGTCCAATAGGCTCATTCATTAACACGCCTGTTGCTTAAGGTGATACACCTGTCCTCCTTACCTTCAAACAGGGGACTGATTTTTCTCCAGCAGGTAATGCCTCCCTGGCTGGTGTACTGGCCCAGCGCCGTCTCCAGGAAGAAGACTGGAACGCCACAGGTGAAGAGGAAGATCAGGTAGGGGATGAGGAATGCACCTGAGTTGAGAAAGAGCAAAGGATTCTGGGTTAGAGTGGTCCAAGGCAGGTAAACACCATTCCTGTGTGAACAGACACATACGTCCATTCATTCTAAGAGATATTAAGAGTTTCCAATCCACCTGACTGCCGTGTCTTTGGACTTTCGGGGGGGAAATCAGAGCATCAACAGGAAATCAGTGAGGACACTGAGTCAGAGCTAAAATCTTAACAAACCAGGGTCATCCCGACGTCCCGTCGGGTGGCCGAGGATGTTTGCCGTGCTCAGATTTCCGCCTCTCCGCAGGGACAGCTGCTGTGAGCAAGGAGCAACAACAGCTGTTTGACCCCGCTCAGCCCTGAACCCTGACCCCTGCCACCCCCATGGAGGGAGAGAGAGGGGCGTCCAATTTAGCCGCTACACAGGCATGTCCAAAAGCAAATAGGGGACACACACACACACACACACACACACACACACACACACACACACAATCTGTTTTTATTTCCTTCACCTGAGATCTCCATCTGAGACTTTTGATGTGCTCAGGTGTTCTGCCATGCCCTGTGTGAGGGTTTCTGAATACGTTCTCCCCAGTCTTGTGTCAGCTGTACTCATGGTTGCATGGTTGAGTCTGACATACCTGTATACACCTCCATATATAAAAGTTATGGGGGTGTAGCTTCTGCCACTGTTGACCCGCCTGTACGCAGGGACACACAAACTGACCCAAGTTCACCACACACTCACCTCCTCCGTTCTTGTAGCAGAGGTAAGGGAAGCGCCACATGTTGCCCAGGCCGATGATGGAGCCGGCGACTGACAGGATAAACTCGATCTTGTTGCTCCACTGGCCCCGCTCCTCCATCTTCTCCTCCGAGGGGGGCAGCGGGTCCTTGGCTCGGCTGACGCCATTGGGGAGGCCTGCTTTTGCAGCGTCTCCTACATCGCGGACACAGAGGAATGGGAACGTTGCAGCAGGTTATAGAAGCTGGTTGATGTTCCCTGTTTCTCAGTATCAGTCAAGAAGGCCTTCAAGAGGCAGCAAAGACACCAAAGAAACTCAATGTTTAAAACTCTGTGAATATAAAGAGATGCTATTTTCATTTTTTTTCAAACTAAAGATTTGCCAGAAAATAAGCTCAATTCTGAGCTTTGTGTACATTATTAATAGCAGCCGCTTCAGTTAAGTACAATGCAATCTTTGTGAGTTAAAAAAAAATACAGCAATCACATTATCAAAAGAAAGAAAGAAAGAAATGATTTCAATGATTTTAAAACACTGAAATGTGTCCATGCTTGACTTACCTTTCATTACAGCGCTGCGTGTAACTCTCGTTTCAAGAGCGAAGCCGTGTCAGGAGATTTATGTGTGAAAATGCTCAAGTTTTAGTATTTAACATGACAGGAGAGGGGCGGGGGTTTGTAATGCTAAACTAGGCCAGCCTCCGCTTTCTTTCCCTATGTCTGCCCCCCTTCAGAGCAAAGTACATCATCTTCATCACTCCATGGTTAAAATAAGGTCTCTGCTAAAGACACTGTATTATAAAAAACAAAAAACAAAAAAAAAACAGGATCATGTACCCCAAGTGTGCTTTTTGGAAATTGCTCCAAAAAACACACAAAAAAATTTTTTTTTTTTTTTTTTTTTTTAATCAAAAATGCTTATAGCAAGGGTTTGAATTTAGGATTCATGTATTTGTAGGTCATGTTCATCATGATTCCTCATGATTTATGCTAATTTCCTTGTTGAAATCTCTCTACCCAAAATACACACAGACACATCTTCCATCCCTGTGGAGGAATAAATGGTAATCATGCTTTAACAGACACATCTCCATCATTGGTTGGTGATCTGACTACAACCCTAAATTCCTTTCAGGGCATCAGACAGGAGAGGTGACACGGGGTGGGGTGGGGGGGTGAAGCCCTGTGTGACTGCCTATTTCCAGCAATATCCTCAGCGACAGAGGTGTGAGTCACTTGGATGGAGGCTAAAGCAGCTGAGGTCAGTTCACACCGGATTTGACTTCGCTGAGTTAGGAGCGGAGATCTGCACGCACCACCCAGCCCCCACCCGCAATCCCCCCCCCCCTCTTTCGCAAATATTTCTGCATTTATGTATTCTGTTGCTTTTTCCACCAATAGGATTGATGTCGAAAAACTCAAATCTCAAAATGCTTAATCAGAAAATAAATGGATGTAAATGTTTGAGATGGTCACTCTGTTAGCAGTAACGTGACGAGTTGGTGTAAGAAGAGACATTCCTGTTCACGAGTGAGGGGGGAAAAAAACACACGTAACATGTAATTTAACATGCAGAGCTGCACAACATGCAACCACATCTTTCCTCTAATGGAGCTAATGAGTAACACAGGAAATGTGAAGTTTAACTTGCAACTTGAAAATCAATCAACCTCTAAATAACATGGCCATAACTCACAAAAGCATGATTCATGAGTCACATTCTGATTTTTTTTTTTTTTTAGCCAAGTAAAGCAAAAAATAATTGAATCTACAGCCTATTACTTGTTTTAGGTTTCATATTTGATGGGTCCCTAACATCGTACACTTAAATGTTTCACTTTTCAAGTTTTATTCGCAAGGGTTTTTTCCTGTCCTGTTCTCTTTCCATGTCCTGTGTGAGACAAAACCACTCAAACAGGTAAATTATCACAAAATTAAGAAAAACAAAAAAAAACAAAAAAAAAACAACACATCATCACAATTATCAATCATTTGACTAGGAATAGTTTATTAAAGGTGAGAAAACAAAACAAAAAAAGCCACAATCCATTTGTTTAATTGCTTAAAAGCTATGTACATTATAAATAATTCCACTACATTACAACCATTTGTTTTTCCTAGTCTGGAGTCCTACACATTGAGATGTTACTGTCTGACGAGCCAGGCAGAGGGCAGATAGGAGGGGTACAGGATGTCCAGTAAAACACGACTGGGAACATATTTGTTTATTTGCCTGTTTGCACTGAATACAACAGCTGGAGTAAGTGGGTGTTTGTTTGACTGACTTGTTACTGTTGAGAAGGAGGGCCGGGAAGTAGCTGGTGGAGGTTTTCTAGACCTAAAACTGTTGTAGGAGGACTGAGTCGTGTCTGTGCACTAACAAACTTTTCAGCACATAGTGGTGCTGTGTAGAGAGAACATGTCACTGCTGGAGCCACACGGTGAAAGTTCTTCACCGTCTTCCTGATGCAAGTTTTTCTTGTGCTCTGTAATCCAGGCAGATACAGAAAAGCCCCAATCTTGTCCCTTTTCTGCCACGCTTGTTCATACGGGGTTATTCTCTCTGTCAGATGCTGTGCAGTCTTACAGGTTGACAGGTTGAAATGCTAGCCTGGGTACTGGTTTTGTGTTATGCTCATTGTGTGAGGTACAGTATTCAAACTCAGTCCTAAGCCGTTGTTTTAGCGCTAACTGCCCTGCTGAGGCTCGTGCTGCTGCTGCTGCTGCTGCTGATGTGAAGTTGCTGGGTTGAGATGAGAGGCAGGGGAGGGATGAGTCCACGAGGCCACGACGGACGAGGGCAGACTCTGCACGTTGCCGCTGCACATCGACGTCGCCAGCACTACCACGCTCTCCTCCGCCACCTCCTCCACCGTCATCCCGCCGCTCGCCCCGGCGGCCTTCCGGGAGCAGTCCATGCAGATGTAATCTTCGTTCTCGGCCATTTCGCACGACACGCCCACGCACACCTGGTGGAACCACTCGTCGCAGCCGCCGTCGCACTGCACCCAGTCCACCTGGAAACACACACACAGACAAATGCAGACATGTGATTGAGAATTGAGACGGACGACAAGGAAACTTTATGATAATTACTGGGGGGGAAAAAAAAAAAAAAACACGTGGCTGTGTTTTGTCAAGCAAAACACAAAATTCTGGACAAACATCCATGTGTAATTTTTAACAACACGTGTCAAAGCTGTATGTCAGTCATTGTTTGATTGATCAGATTTTCTGGGATACAGAGCCAAAACAAATCTGAACACTCACCAACTGTTACACATCTCTAACTGTGAGCTACTTCACTCACAGCTCAGCACACAGAGATAACATACTTCATTGGACTTACTAAATAAGTCCATTTTATTAAAGACTTAAAGTTTAATTTAAGTGTCACACATATTTTGTCACAGTGTATGAAGAACAGCAAAGTTTAGCAAAATCATCAAGTGAATAAGTCAGTATGGTTAGACGTGTTGTGCTTTCTACAGCAACATGTCACACAACATTTCATACGGAAGATAGAGTTTAAGTCATTTCAAATTATCTATACATGCATCCTTCTATCTGTTTCTCTGTTGGGCCCTATCCCAGCATGCACTCTGCTAGAGGCAGGGTACACCCTGGACAGGTCACCAGTCTGTCTGCCGGGCTAACGCACACAGACAGATAAAAAACAGAGCACATGCAAAGCCAGCAATTTATTTAAAAAAACAAAACAAAAAAAAAAAACAAAAAAAGCTGACCAGGACAGGTTTGAACTCGCATCCTGGATCGTATTAGTGGAGTCTTTTAAAATGAGGACTGGTTGTGAGGACATTACTGAGGGAACTCCTTAATCTCAATTTGAATTTAAATTTAAATTTCACACAACTGTTAATCATCCCAACTTCAGGTGTTATCAGCCCAGTTGAGAGCAGCACCTTCATAAGTTCATCACCTTTACTCCACCCACAGAGCTGCAGGCCTACCAGTTCCTCAGCTCTGACTGGCTGCCCTGTGGACACGCAGGGGAAGGCGACTGGCCACTGGTTAACTTGGTGGAGAGTCTGGCGTGCTGTCTCAAAAAAGAACCACATCTGTGTGTCCTGTTAATACGTTATGTGTAACTCTCTTTAAGGTGTTCCAGTGCTGTTATCAGCTGTTGATATTCAATAAAGTTCCAAGATATTCATTTTGAGAAGTGTTTGTTATTAACTCTGTACTCAGCAAACAAAGAAACTTGTCATTCACCTGGGTGTTTACAGTTTCGAGGACCTGTAAACCTGCTCTGCTCAAAGAATCGAGCAGCATTTACCGCCTCTCTCTGTGAGGCAGGGATGTTAAGCAGGTTCAAGAGGTTTGTCCAAATGACAAATCTGCCAACATCACGGTCCTCCAACAGCACAGCACAGCACAGTCCAAGAGCAGCTACATTTTAACACAGCATCCTGCCGGATTTCATGAGGCCAGTCTGCACTTCAGATTTCACAATGCAGAATAAAAGTATATGCTGAGCCACAGGAAAATGATGGGTGCTGGTGGGAGCAGAGCTCACAATTTACGCCTTAAAACACATTTTTACAACAGAGAAGATACAGAAAATTGAAGAAGCACAAAAAAAAAAAAAAAAACTATTCACAGCCTATAATCACTATACTATAATCACTATACTATAATCAATTTATAGGTGTCTGAACTTTGTGTGGATACACATCTAATCCTTGCATTTTTTTTTTTTTTAAAGTATATTTTTTGGGCTTTTATGCCTTTAATGGACAGCACAGTGGAGAGTGACAGGAAACGGGGAGGCAGAGAGAGGGGGAATGACATGCAGTGAAAGGCCGTCCGATGCGGGATTCGAACCGGGGCCGACTGCAGCGAGGACTGTAGCCTCTACACATGGGGCGCCTGCTTAAACCACTACGCTACACGACGCCCCAATCCTTGCATTTTGATCTAAATGTGAAACATCTCAACCTCCTACAGCCCATTGAATCTCCACTTTTTTTATACACGAGGCTGTGTGATCTCTGACAGAGCTGAGGACATTTACTATTACTCACATATTCTTATATGGATTTTCACAATACACGTACACTGAGAACATTTCTTTTCAGTCAATTACTAGATTAGTCGAGCGACTTTAACAGTCAATTAATTGTTTACATATAAAAAAAAAAATAAAAAAAAAAAGGCAACGTCTCTGTGGGTCCAGCCTCTCCAGTGTAAAGAAATCACTGTTTTTGAAACTGACTGTCTTTGGGTTTTCAACTGTGGTTTGGACAAAATCAGGCATTTGAATACGTCGCCTTGGGCTTTGGGAGACTGTGAAGGAAAATGTTCAAACATTTTATAGACCAAACAATTGATAAATCTAAATAATGATTAGTTGCAGCAGTTCTTGACTCAATTAAGTGAATATTTTAGAACCTGATCATGAATAATCTAGTAAAAATTCAATGTGTCAATATCAGATAATGCTGAGATAATTACCACATGAATTATGTCCATATTCCCAGTGAAGACATTAAAGGACTAATTCAATAATAATATTCCAAAGATACAGAACTTTGAGTTTTCAGAAGGTGCACAGTCACATGGTCACCTTTGACATCTGTTA